GTATAACCAGTTGTGTCAAATGTACTATATTGAGTTCCTAATTTATAGACAAATAATGAAAAAGTGGGCTGAAGTCCTGTAATGCTTGCTCTGCCTGAATATTACAGATATTAAAAATACTAAGCTCCCACATTTACAAGTCTCTCTCTCAGAAAAAAAAAAAAAAAGGAGACAAAGTTGTTTTGGAGCCTGCTGTAATCCACACTGATGATCACATAGCGTACTCTTTATTATCAAATTTTTGATGAGTGAACGAGGAGCTAGACAAGATTGAGAGTTTTGCTCCAGAGAGAATCATTGTGTTGTTCCAGTGACAGCTGCAGTATAATTTGAGGTTAAAAAAACCCAAACCACAAACAGTAACAAAAACCCACAGCTGTACAGAAGAGCAGAATCCATTCCTATGTATTTTCCAGGAACCACTAGCCTCAAGCTTCATGTCTTAAAAAAAAGACTGGCCTTATAAACTGCAACAACAAAGAACAACCCCTAACTTCTACCCTGCTTCAATTCCTCACTGCTCCAAAACACAGGTGGAATACAATTGCAGAGAATTTTGTGAATATAGCCAGGAAATCAGTACTAGAAGGTACCATGTGGACCACCTTCCCAAATACAAGTAACCTAAGCTTAGATAAGAACTTGGCTGTAACTGGTAGGGGATGGGTGGGACATAGAAGAAGGGACAGAAAGTTCATACACTCACAGTAAATTTATCTGAACATTAGCAATTGCAGGGAATTTTGTGAATATAAATTCACAAAAAAAAAAATCAGTACTAGAAGGTACTATGTGGACCACCTTCCCAAATACAAGTAACCTAAGCTTAGATAAGAACTTGGCTGTAACTGGTAGGGGATGGGTGGGACATAGAAGAAGGGACAGAAAGTTCATACACTCACAGTAAATTTATCTGAACATTAGTAGCATAATCAGACCCCAGTGGGGAGTAGTATTCATAGAGCTGCCATAAGCTGATGTCTCTGAGAATGGGACTTCTGTAATAAAACTAGTTAAAAGTTTACAGCTGCCTACTGGAAATGCAACTCTTCCCTCATACACTTTTGCACTTCCTCAACAATAAGCACAGCACTCCTGAGCTACGACTTCAGAAAATATCTGCTGGGCTGAATATTGAACTTATTCCATAGTAAGGAAATACGAACATCATGCAAGAGGCTAGATGGGCTATACTTGTTGAAACAGAAACCATGAATGAAAACAATGAAATATTTACAGTCAAACATCTGCACTAGGCTTGTCTGACTCCATTAGAAACTATCAGCAGATTGAAAGACAAATTTATCAAGCTCAAAAGCCACAGAAAAAAAGTACTGAAAGTACTTGTGGATAGAGAGTAAAAGAAAATAAAAAGAACCTTTCATATGACTCAGACTTGGTAGCTTTAGGAGACACTCATCAGTACTTTGCATTCTAGGTCCATAAAAGAACATGATCTATTGTATTTAAATGCAAAGAAACAAAACAAGTTGATCCTCAAAACAAACCTACACCACACTGGAACTTTACAGATTCAACAGCTACTTATTAGTCTTATTTGTATTTGATTACTTCCTTATTTCTTCCATGAGGAATTGAACATGTTTTTGGAAGAGACTTGGTAAATTTATTTCAGTGTTCTTTTCAAATATTATGAAAAATTCTAAGAACCAAATAATTCCATTACCTATAAAAGAATAATGTTTCAAATTGTTGTTCAATAAATGTGTGTGTATCTGTCTATCTCTATTTCAACACACATTTATACAGTTCCTGCTGTCTTCTCTTCACTGACATTGTCTCGACTAGCACAAAAACAGTCCTTGAAATTCAAGGATTATCAATACTTAGAGTGGGCTTCTTCCCAAAGTTTTTCATAGCCATTGAAATAAAACAAACATCCAAAATTAATTTTAATGTTGCTGGCTATGGTCTTTTTCTTTACTAACCACAATGTATTATTAAAGAAGTACACAGACACAATTTGTTCCAACTAAAGGAAGCCTACAGAAATTATATTCTCCAGGCATCACTGTATCAATATGGCCTGAGAACAAGACTTGCCTGTTCAGCCATGCCTTGGCTTCACTGACTCTCATGAAAGTAAGTAATCACTAAGATATCTTGGCATTCATGATACTGTTGGCTACAAAGAAAGAAGAAAACAAAACAAAACAAAAATAAAGTGCTAAAATGTGCCTTAAGCAAAGGATAGAGCAAAGCTGACCAGGCCAGGAGCCAGCATTCAGCACTGTGTGCCAAGAGCACCAATACAAGACTTTGGGGATGGCTGTCTTGGCACAACGTGATATTGGTTTCTACAGTTATGAAGCACATTGAATTGCTCTTCCAAGCAGGAGGCACAGTGTCTCCCACAGTCAGGAAGTGCCACCTCCCAGAGGCAGGATTCCTACACAGTTCTCTCCTTTTTTCTTCAAAATTTTATTCAGATGAGCGTTAGGGTAAAAATCAAGAATTCTGCAGTTGTGTTCTGCCCTGTCCTGTCTCCTGAGCAACCTTGAGCAAGCAGTGGTCTATTAACTGAGTTTTCTCAAAAATTCAGATAAAAGAGACTAAATCTCTCTATTGCTGTACTGGTACAGATAGCTAAAATTAACTTCATGATGAGGTCTTTTGCTTGTAACATCAGCATTTGGTGAAGCTTTACTCAAGCTACTGCCTACACTCAAAATTTCCAGAACATCCACCTCACAGAAAATCCATGAGTAACTGTTTGCTAGAGTATTTAAATTAAAATAATTGTCTGAAAAGTCATCCACTACTCAGTGGCTATAGATGAGAATATAAGGAACCACATTTCTGCTGCATGAAGATAAGCAAATACGGGGAGGGGGAGGAGAAGGGAGGGATCTCAAGAGGATAAAGCCATCTCATGACTGCCTTCACTTTTAGTGCATTTTGAGTCTGGGGTTTTGGGATTTTTTTTTGTCTGTTTTGTTTTCTGTGGTTGGCTTGTTGGGGGGTTTTGTGTTTCCTTCTTTGTGAAGATTTTTGTTTGGTTGGTTGTTTTATTTGTCTTGGTTTTTTTCAGGCTGGGCAATGAGCTGAATCCACTTATCAGACAAGAGGTGGAGGCCTGAAGGCTTCAAAGGGATGATGTAGATTGCAGGCATGGACGAGGAAAGAGACCTACCTTTTAAGAAGCTATGAACCCATTAACTCAACTCAGCCATGTCAAGCAGATTGGCTTCCTGAACTGATCGTTACACAACTGCAGGACCACTTTTACTAGTGCAAGAAAAAAAACAGTGGAAACAAGGTATCCTGTTTTAGACCCAGCTGGGAGTTGGGCACCACACAGCCACTTGGTCACTGCCTGCCCCCACACCCCCCAAAACAAGAAGGAGAAAGGGAGAAAAATACAAAACCCTGTAAGGTTAAGCACAATTTGATACAATGCAAAAGGAGCAATAAATAACAGTAATGACAACAATATATAAAGCAAATGAGACCACTCAGCAAGGTAAGGCAGCCCTTGACCCCAGCTTTGACCCTGGCCCGGCCCTCCTGTCACGAGCACAACATCAAGTACAGTACTGAATAACCTATTGGCTGGTTCTCTTGTCTATCCAGGCTGTAGCTTAATCCCAACCCCTGGGGAGGATTATATAACCAAGTATATATTAATACAAAGTAATAAACATAAATTAATTAAATATAAATTAATCTTCCACTTGGCCAAGTCTTATTTCACTTAGAGATCAATGTTGTTTCAGTGTTTAGATTTAAAAAGGAAACACACAACAGGACAAGTTTAAAGGCTAGAATTTAAAGATGTATAAGCCCTTAACTCCTAAAAAATGTCCTTGCTTTTCTCAGCACCTACATTGCAGGCAGAAATGCTTTGATAAGAGTTCCTAAGATAGATCTGCATTTCTCTCACCCTCTCCTGAAGAAGTTCCACGACTTGTTGTATACAATCATTCACATCACAGGAATCAGTTTTCAACACAAGCTCTGGGGCTTCTGGCTTTTCATACTCGGAGTCAATCCCAGTAAAACCTGCAGAACATAAAGATCTTAAGTGACTTTTTCCAGAAGATTACCCCATTAACATTGCTCACAGACAGTTTTCTAGACATTCCGTGTGAACAGACAAGTTCATTTAATTTTCATCCTTCATATATGAGACAGGTCATATGGCTTGCTTCTGAGAAAACCTTAGTTCAACCTTATTTATTCCTGGTCTTCACATGATATATTTGGTAGTATTAGAAGTATCAAGCAACCACTCACGTGGAATGTCTTAGGTTTCTTGAATTTTATCATTTTTGATTAATGGTGAATTAATCATTACAGCACCTGCAAACTGAGCTCCCAGAAGTGCCTACTTTAAAAATTGCTTTACTGATTAATACAGGTAAAAAATGTTGTCATCAACCTCTGCAAACTATTCTATAACAGAGAGCAAAGAAGCACTGGAAGCAATACTTGCAATGAGTGATCACAAATTTAAGCTTTTTTTTATTGCAGGCTGTACTTAAGTCTTTATGTGAGGCCAGGGATAGGAAATAATTTTCATAGATATTAGCATAAAACCCTAATTTCAAAGTCTCTTCAGAAGTCTTCTTAATTATCTTTCCAGAAATACAGTGACAGTGCTTTATTTTTTGGAATAACTTAGTAACTCTTATTAATGCAATGCTTTATAGACTTTAGAAAAAATTAGGCTGTTTTATAACTAGCCAATGGGCACACAAAGGAGAGACTAATCCTCAACCCTAAGAGCTTGCAATAGAAACCGTGCAATCTGCTCAAAGTTTTCCAGTATGGGGACAGCCAATTTTGCCCTTTTACTGCCCAATGCCTTTAACTAGTCAGATGCAGGAGCTAGAAGTCCATCTCAACTTTTTGCTTGGGGACCCAGTCCATGCTGCTTAAGGGTGCTACACTCACAGACGAGCACATCCACTTATGTGGAGTCAAATTATACCAGTGTTTCACTTATGCAGAAAGGCTGTGACCACGTCTAGGTTCACCTTTAATTTCTCCAGCCCTGGCTTTCTTATAGAGTCCTTTAACATCTCTCTGCTCACAGACATGCAATGGAGCATCCACAAATACTTCAAAAAAAGGCAAACTTGCCCCTTCATGAATTCGTCTGGCATTATTACGATCCTGAAAGAAAACAGAAAAAAAACCTAAGGATTATTTTCACATGTTGTTAATGTCTTTCTGCTTCTGAAGGTCATTTTAAAGAAACTGATTTTAAAATGTAAACAAGTTTTCAAAGTTTGAAAAAGAAACATGATTTTATCAAATGATGCCCTGCAAGCTACATCAGTTGGGCTACAGTTCACCAATACTAAGAGCTGATATGAAGACCTGAATTTTCCATTAAGCTCATTTATTTTAAAAAAACCAAACCAAAACAAAAAACCACACACCAACAAACAACCCAGGTGCAGAATGCAGGATTTTCTATACCTGTCCCTATCTTAGGAGTTATGTTGCCAACAGCTACATCTGCCTAGCTCACTTAAGTCAGAGGAGGCATTACTTGCTACTCTGGATATGACCACCCTTCTTCTCTAGAACACCAGACTTCTCTACATTCCTAAATCTGAAGAAACTTGTATACACCAAATATTATTTTAATTGTATGGCTTGCCAAACATTGAGACAATTGATGATTTTCATTTAGAGAACAAAAAGCTTTCCAAAAAAACACTAAACCCATGTCTTACTAAATAGGATTATTATTCCTCATAGCCAAGGACTTCTGTTTTACTGCAGGACATTGAGTTCCCCAAATTATTAAGAGAAGAACTGTTTGCATCACTATAATCAAAGACTGTGTTTATTACACTTTCTCACACTGTGAAGTGTCTGAGCTACAGCCCGTGGGTCATTCTTCAAGATACTTGGTGTTCACAAAATTTTTGTCTCTTCCATCCATGTTCTCATACACAGACAAAAACAGTCATCACAAAACAATATGAATAGTGATTTAGGTTAATTTTCAGTATTATCTAATGTCATGTTGTATACCCATCATGAAACAAAGTAAAAAGAACTATGGGCAATTAAAATACTTTTCCCTTAAGCCTCCTGGTAAAATAGAGTTCATGCCATGCGTTCACTGACGGAATAGTTGCTTTTAGAAACAATTTAACTGAGTCTTCAGGCTATGTGTATATCTAGTTTTCATAGTTATGAAGTATTAGAATTTATGTGGATCAAACAAGATATTATAATTTTAAGACTCTTTCTTGGAGTATCAGTTGTGTTTTTCCCAATATTGGATTAATAATTCTGCCTAACAGACTGAAGGACAGTTTTGGTTATAGGACTAATGCAAACTGTTTTTCTAATTTAAGATTAATGTTTCTGAAAGTTGAGTAATCATCTATAGAAAACATAATTGTTATTAAAAAAAGCAAGCAAGCATTTGATTCTGGCTAAGTTCAGTGAAGGGTTCCTATGATTAAAATTCTGACTGATATCTTGCATTTTGTATTTTTCCCATACTTTATCTGGAGGTTTTTTACATTTACCTGAGCATAGGGAGAGATGAAACTAGTAATGCACACCAAACCAGCATCTGCAAACAGCTTAGCAACCTCAGCAATACGACGGACGTTCTCTTCTCGATCTTCTGGTGTGAAACCAAGATTCTTATTAAGGCCTTGGCGAATATTGTCACCATCCAATGTGTAGCATGGAATGCCATGGCATACTAAATACTCCTCCAGTGCCATGCTCACTGTAGTCTTCCCAGCACCAGATAAACCTAGAATATTCAGTAATAATAAAAATGTATATTACAAGCACAGCAGCAATTGTTACTACCTGAGCAAACTAATTTACATCAAAAGGGGAAGATCTCACACTGAAGTGAACTTCAGTCAACAAAAGGAACGGGATCAGACCAAACCACCCTCTGTTCTTACTCCTTGCACAATAACAGCACTGAATTAGACACCACAGACACAAAACCTCACTCAAGACACACAGCAGTCATGCTCCACGAACTGGAGTGCTAGCAACAAATAAAGACAATTTTAATTAACCTTTAAACAATTGAGAAGTCTTGCTGGCACTAAGACTGTTTGCTTTAAATTGGAAATATATTTAAATAATTTTCCAGACTGGATTTCAGGAGTTTATCTGGAGCACATGCTTCAGCTTATAAAGAGCAGTCAATTCCTAAATGGGACATAAACTCAAGTCTTCATAAGATGATATTAATCCTTTGAGTAAGAAAAAAATATTAAGGGTAATGGTAATCTAAAAAAAAAAAAAGCACTAGTATGTAAAGAAAAAATGTTTTTATCTTTATTAGTGGAGATTAATATTTATTTTAGCTTTCAGAGAAAGAAGAAAAAAAAAAAAAAATCACAAACCCAGCAGCTTAGTACAACTTCTAAGACCTTTACAGCAAAGTATGGCAATCAGACTAACAAGCATGTTCTATGAAAACACAAATTGCAAAAGAAACCTTGGCACTTGCAATAGTTTAGGGTAATTTAAAGGAGTCATTGCATTGGTTCCTCTTTCACTCAGTTTAATACCCAGAACCAGCTCAAGGTTGGATTAGACAAGCACTATAGCTTGTGCAGGGCAAGAGAAGGAAAACCAGGCTGGGACCAGAACGGTCTTCTTTTAGCAGGAAGTAAGTATGCCTCCATCATACAAAACAGCCCAAATTAAGATTTCAGCAACTTCATAATTTACTTCCCATTGATGTAGTCTTTGACTTGCAATTTTTGTTCCCATACCTAGCTTGCTATTCACTCAAATGCTCTAGCTTTTCACGTACCATTTGGTCGCCACTGTGTAATGAAATGCAAAAGTTAAGGTTATATAATAATGAATTTTAAAAACAGCTTTTGAGCTGACAAAACTTACACTCTTAAAACTGAGTATTTTACACATGAAAGTAATGCTTTTCTATATTTTGATACATTCCTCAGGAATTTTTTTTTTTTAACTAGGACCCTCCCAACTCAACAGCACAAGACATTCATTAGAATTTATCTCTCAGATAAACCTTAGCTTCAAAATGAAAAGCAATCTCTGAAGTAACTTTCTGTACACTCCCACCCTGTGACTGATGAGGTGAGAATCTTGAAGAAAGTATATAACTTTTTCAGCTTTTATTCTAAAACCTAGCAGAGTTTTAAAGACTCATGTTTGCATAGTTCTATAATGGGTACTATTGCTACTTCCATACCTACAGTCCATTTTGCTCCCCAACATCTTGAATAACCTAGCTTCCCTGACACACTCTTGTTAATACCTTACAGCATTCCTACTTTCCTGTATTCCACCCCCACCTCCCTTCCTCCTGAAGGAAAAAAAAAAAAAAAAGGAAACTGGACATTAAGATTACAGTTGTTTAAAAAGAATGACGTCTGGAAAGCGTTGCTGTGTAGATAACTGAGAAAACATTTTTATCATGACCTTTTTCAAAAGGATATTAATGAATTACCAGGAGGAACAGAAAGGCAGCCTACCAAACCATCTGATCTGAGCATTGAGAGACAGGCTGGAGCTACGTGACAGAAACAGGGAGAGAAAGGGCTCCATTCTTTTACCAAAGAAATGCATGACAGCAAACTACTGTATCAGATCTGTTTGGAATGGTTCTCAGCAATTTGTTAGCAGCTCCTGCTTCACCTTTCACACACGTCCATTAGCAGTAGGGGAAACAAATTTTATTTTGTGTAGTAAGTTTCTCTAATACTCAGTGAAGATCTTTTGTAGTGCAAAAAACAGTGCTCTAAATAGTTTAGAAATTAAATTACATATTTATTTATTTTCAGGTTTAACTGAAAAAAATCTCCTAAGGAAATACATTAAACCTTCCAGAAACTTTGAAAGACAGAACAAAAAAGTCTCCTCACACTGCCAAATCAAAGTTAACTTCCAGAATTTACTTGCCCCCTCTTTTTACAACCAAAACAATTCAGTGAAAAAAACATGGTACTAACTTCAAAAATTACTCCCAATATGCATTCCCTCAACATGCAACTGCTGCCCAAAGGCATAGGCTTATATTGAAATGTTATTTAAACCCAAGGAGACAATAATATTCCAAAGAGGAGACACCTTTATAAAAAAGATTCAGAAACAGACTCTAAAAAACCCCCAAATTAGTTTTCATTTGTTTATAGGTAAAACGGAGAGTAAGAAGAGCCAGGATTGGTTAAAACGCACAAAAAAAACCCAACCCATAAACTCCAAAACTCAGCTGGAACCAAGCCCCAGACTGTCCCAAATAAACAATGCTCCTAGTGTACTGAATAAGTTACATTCTTGGAGCAATTATTTGCTAGTCTAATGAAAAGTAGTACTAAAATTACATCAAGGTCTTAGATTCCACAAAAATTCAAATTTGCATGAAAAAAAAAGCAGCTACAGCTAAGTGGCTTTTAGAGAAATAAGTAAAACAAAAGGATCCTGAGAAATTCATGACTGTACCTGTTAACCAGACTGTGCACCCACGAAAACCACTTCTTGTTCCTACCACTTGGCCTCTCTTATTCCTGCT